CAAAACACAGAAACTGAAAACGATGATGAATACACCTCAGTTGTTGGCGGTAACGAAGGTTACATAACCACAACGCCACGCACACCCGCCTCCGGCGACACGAACACCGATTATTATATCAATGCTAATGAAATCTCTTCACAGGACAATGAGCCAGGCGCAGAACGTACTGGGTACACGACGCAACAAACACCTACCACGACTCTTTTGCACGTTTTCACGCAGACAGGCCACGACGAGCCAACACATCGGCCACCAACAGCGAATGCCAACTTCATTGGCCGCCTTGTCCCCGAGAGAGCACGTCCGAAACACAAGGTGGTAGAGATCAATCGTATTGTCGAGATTACCTCAAAAGAAGACAAGCTACGGCGCAAATCAAAGGCGAATCATGAGTTCCTCCAGCCGATCGGCACGTCAAATATACGGGTCGAGGAATTGCCCCATGTAGAACAGCTGGGCGAAATCAGCGTTGTGAAGTATGTCCATCTAGTCGATGGCAGTGACATTTCCATCGACGGCCACAGCACAGTTACCGATTACACTCCAACTGAGCCAACGGTCTCAATGCCCGTAAGAAATTCGTTGCCCGAGGGCGTACCTTACTATGTGCCCCAGTATGCGTACTCTACGGAGAGTGCACAAGCACGAACTACATTGGAACAGCGGAATGGTAAAGCACTGGTACCCGAGGTGATAAGAAGCGCAGTTGAGAGTTCGACAATATCCTTGGAAGCCCTATTCGATGGCGAACGGCAAGGTAAAGAATTAAATTCTGTAAATAGTGTGTACTACATATTCGGATCAGATGACAAAAATTCAACCAGTACCAGTACCAATACCGCTAACGTGAACGACAGTGAGAACGAAACCCAAAACATAAAAATCACAATTCCAAATACAGGTACAAGTACGTCTTTACCGACCTTGTTAACGATGACCACCACTGAGAGTGCTTTGCCCCTTAACCTAAATAGTGATATTGTAAATAACATACCTAACGAAGCATTCCCAAATTTAGAGTCCACAACGATTGTAGGCAATAGCTTTGTTGAGGAGAGCACAACAAACATACCGCTCATATCAAACTCAACCACCATTGAGGCAACACTTTCCGTAAATGGTGCCGCAGATGATGTTAACAACAATTTCTTGGAAACGACCACAGTTAAGACCGCAACAACCGATGATGGTCCTACTAATGCAGATAATGCGGTTAAGTTAAATACATACGTAAGACCCGTTGTCCCTCTACCCCTGTTACGCCCTGAATCCAATGAGTCCTCCCCCTTAGTTATTACAATAGCTAATCTTGACAAAGTCATACTCAGTAAAGTAGATCGCACCAGTTCAGCCGAAAATAAATCAACTACCTACACAGACACAGTCTCGCAAACGAAGACACAAACACTATTGGGAGAGCCTAGACCCGTAGATTCGAATGCGGAGTACTCAAGTCGCTTTGCTTCCATTATTGAGGCTCCCACCAATCTCGTACACGTTGCAGGTGGTAAAGCCAACAACAAAGTTGAGGGTATGTCTCAGCACGAAGTGCACAGTGTTGGTAGTGGTAGTGGCAATACTGATGTAGGTTCTAGTGTTAGTGCGAGTAGTAATTCGAGTAGCTTAAGTAGTGGCAGCATAGTGACAGAAGTGATAAGTTTTAGTACAAAGACGCATGTTGTGCGAAAGAAGAAATCTCGTAAACATAGAGCGCGAAAATTGGGAAAGTCCAGAAAGCGCCCCACCACCACAGTGCCACCAGTCATCGCTGCAACTGGAACAACCTCACCGAGAGTAAACAGAGTGGATGAGGGGTACCTAAGTAGCAGCAGCAGCACAAGCACAACCAAGTCTTCAGCTAAAACGGCGACAACGCCCAGAGTAAGGGTGGTGAATATTGCTTAATAGCGATGAAGCCTGGAGCTTTCGTTTAGCTTATTTCAAGAGTTATTTTTGGAAAAGGGAAGTCGAATCAAATAACAGAAAGTAGTAGTAGTTGCCCATATCGATTGAAAATTGTTGAAGAGGATCGAAAAGAAATGATTATCTCTAAACAATAGCGTTTTTTGCTTTAAATACTCATTATAGTTTATAAATTTCTAGTCTTACCGTTATTTTGTCCACAACCATGACATATCGTTATACATATATGCTGAGGTGTATTAATATGTTAATAAATAACTGTAAATAAATATTAAACGTATCTATGAAAAAACCATTGACTTCGTTTGCTTCTTAACAATTTTTATTTGAAACTAATGGAAGCCTAGCATTAATCTCTCTTTCTCTCTCACACACACTATTTGCTTTACGCTTTCTCTTCCAGCTCACTGTCACTCTCTTCTAGCCATTTATTTTTGTTTTCCTTTTATACCCAATGCATAAGGTTGTTAGTGCCACATAAACTCAGATCTGAAATCAGCTGACAAACTAACGGGGTGGCTTCTGAACAAACATGAGAGATGATCACAGTACATTCATAATTTGTTTTCTAAAGATATGTCACTTCTACAATGAAAAATTACGACAAAAGTATAATTTATTCATATGTATACGGGTAAGAAGTATCTTCAAACAAAGTTTAGTCTTTAAGGGCCTAAATTTCACTTCACTTTGACAAAAAACTATCAATGCAAACTTTAAACAAACATTATTATAGTCTAAGCTTTTCGATGGAGCAAACTTTGGTACAATTAAGATGGAAGGAAGGAGGAAAATATAAATTGGATCATACTTGCAACTTGCAAACGCCTTTCCTAAATGTTGCCCTAGTCTTTTTGAGATAAATGCTCAGAACATCGACGACCACGAGAGCTTGAACCTTGAACGCGCCCAAACTAAATATTTTTAAAACTTAAAAAAAGTTATTTTAGCGGGATATGTTTTGGTAGTCATTAGGTTAGAAGAAGAAAGAAATTCCAAAAGCACATATGAGAGTTTTAGGTCACAGTAGATACCTCAGATTACACTCGATCAGCGACGACCAGAGAGAACATTCACTCTATAAGCTCCCATATAAAATCGCGATAAATCTTAAAAAAAATACTCCTTCGAAATATTTTGATAGTGACTGATCTACTACTTTAATCTCAAGCAATTCTAACAAACCCCATTCCCGTTCTCTTCCACTGGTAATTTATCTGAAGTCTTTAAACCTCAGAAATTTTAAAGATTCCCCTCCCCCCATAGAGGGGTACTAAAGCGGAAAATGAGTGTGAGGGAATTTGGAAAACCCTCAATCTAACTATGCATTGGATATAAAGAGTAACACCTGAACATTAATATATTTTTTTTTCTTATTTTTTTACCATAACCTCATTATGCCTGACTATCGTCGTAAAATTTAGCTGATACCGATTCCAGTTTTGAATTTTTGTAGCGGTTATTTATGAGTAAGCTGTTTTTCATGGCAGAAATACACTCGGAGGTTTGCCATTGCCTGCCGAGGGGCGACCGCTATTACTTAGCCTTTTTTTGATGCTGGGTTGAACTGGGCGTGAACCCAGCCTATGCGGAAGGGTGCGCGCACTATTAACCACTACACTACAACGGCCTCTTCTCATAAAAATACAATCGCCGTTCGGAGTCGGCGTAAACTGTAGGTCCCTCCCCCTTTTTTTTTGTGTGACAACATCAAGGCGCACACCACAAATCGGAGGAGAAGCTCGGCCAAACACTACCATATGTGAAAGCGCCATTCAATTATTTACTTATAAGTAAATAAATTAGTTACTTATCCACACAACGGCTTTTTTACTCTGAGGAATCGTTAGTGTTCATGTTCTTCACATAAAGATAGACAAGCATATGTATGTATGTACATTAGACCATATATAATGCGACCAGACTTCGACTCAAATTTTAGTATTTGGTATAGTAATGATCCTTCATAATTTCGCCACTGTAGGAAAATTCTAAGAGGTCGCTCATCGAGCGCTCATAATTCCCATAGGAATAACACGTAAGAAAATTAGGAATTTTCTTTTGAGGCCAATATAATTTTCTAGGATGAATCAAAACGCTCGAAACTATAAGAATACATTGATTACATGACATTTAAGTATTATGGGGGCTCAGATTCTTTAAATTCCCAAACTATCCCCTTTTTAATCTCTTTCCTAGTTTGGGTCAAATATAGTAGGTACCCAGAAAAAAATCGGTAATCGCTTTTAGAGGTAACGTGTTCTAGAAGGCATAGCGTTATAATGCCTTCGATTTTTTTCGCTTCTTTTAGGCATTGCCGGTAATGCAAAGTAGAATGTCCTACAATATTTTATTTGTTTCGCTTCTTTGCTTCATTTCAGGGAATGCAAAGTAGAATGCTGCATCGTAGTCAGCTGAAAAATAGAATGAATATCCAAAAATTCTTTTTCTACCGTTACTTTCTGTGGAAATTTGTCTCGCATAAAAATCATGTTTTGCTTTGTTCAATTTGCAGCGAAGTTGAAGTCAGTCAATGAAGTGAAGTACAAGAGTGAGGAAGTACAATTTTAAGCTTAGTTAAATATGCATGTATGTACATACCGATTTTTAAGAAAATCTAAATACCTAAATAAATACATATGTATGTATAAAAGCTGATTTATAAAAATTTTAATTAATTTTAATCTTTTAAGACATTTTCTGATTTCAATTTAATATAAATAAATATGTACTTAACTAGGCATTCTACATTAGTTTCTCTGTAAGGCATTCTTTGTTCGCTTCTCTGGATTCTGTTTATCCATGCGTTCTCCCTTCATTTGAAGGTAATGCTGCGGGTAAGGGCTTACCGCCAATGACATGCCCATGTTAAAATAAGGCCTTCTTCAAGCGAAAGGGTTAGCTATTCCTATTACAAACAAAAAAATAAAAATTGGAGTTTAGAGAGTCTGAGCCCGCATAACACTTAAATGGCGTGAAATCAATGTATTACAGTTTCGAACGCATAACACTTAAATGGCGTGAAATCAATGTATTACAGTTTCGAACGTTTTGATTGATCCTAGAAAATTATATTGACCTTAAAAGAAAATAACATATTCACTTTGAATTCAAATGGAATGGGACTGAAATTCACTCGGAAGTGAATTGCAGAACCTGCCTCATTTTCTTACATCGTATGGACGCGCGACCTCTTAGAATTATCGTAGAAAGGGGTGATTACTATACCAAATACTACAATTTGGGTCGGTGTTCGGTCGCATTGCAAGATTTTTTTTTGTTTGGCGTGGTCTAATGTACATACATACATACATACATATGTATGCTGCCATTAAAAGTTTAGCTTGAATTAAAAATAATTTGCTTGCTATACTGCTGCTTTTTGCCACATTCTCATCTGCATTTTGCAAAATAAAAAAAAAAACATACTGCTTAAAAAAGCAAATATCACATAAAAACTTATCTCAAACAAAAATCTAATTTCGAAACGTACATACATACCTGCGTATATCGCGTGTACAAACATATTTAATTATAATCATAAATATGTAAATATGCAACTTTTCTGGCTGCTATTCGCCCATTCGCCCAAATCAAAAAATAAAAATAAAACAAACAATTTCGAGCGAATAAATTAACTAAAGCAATGATATATTTTCGTATTTATGTAGTTAAATATTCGTTTCTTTTTATTCTTTCTATACCTCACACTTCTACTTCTATTTAAACACTTTTGTATTTATCTAGATACTTTTATATCTACACTCTTTCAATTTCAATGTATGTATTTATGCATAACCGTTGAAAATGTAATAATTAAAAATTGTCACAAAACCATTTTATTTTTAAGTTTAAGAGTATTTATGTATATGCATATGTTTTATCATATAGAAATCAACTTGTAATTAGTAAACAATAAAACGAACAATTCAAAAACATAAACAATTATGTAAAACACCGTATTCAATGTACATACATACATATACCCGTACATATATCAAGTTTTGTGCAATGTTTTTTAATTTTCTTTATTAATATTCTTTATTGTATTTAATATACTTAATAACACACTTTCAAGCTAACACTAAAAGTTTTAACATAAATTGTTTGTTTAAAATGTACGATGCATAAACTATATGTGTACATATAGTAATTATACACTTACAATCAATACGGGTGAGTTTTCAATGTCAGCTTGTAGTCGAGAGTGCTTTTTTAAATGTCATTCTGTGTACTTGTAATGAAGTTTTATGATCTTGATGACGTAAATGCAATAGTGGTATTCACCAAAGTGAGCAAGTGGCCTGGCAGTCTGGCAAAAGAGCAGATCAGCTCAAGCAACGACTGTTATCATTGCTTGAGCTCATCTGCTCTTTTGCCAGAGTGCCAAGCCAATTGCTCAATTTGGTGAATACCACTAATGTTTTCGAACATCGAGTACGACTACAACTGCACCCCTAGATGTTATGCAAAGAGAAGAACAGATCAAGAAGCCTACTATGAACTCAGACAAACATTGGAAATGCTACTTTACGCTTAAATAATTAGCCTCCGAAAGGGTTAATATATAGATAAATCACTTCGCGTATTTGAAGAAAATCTCAATTCCGCCACTTGTCTTCCTCCTTTCCCTCTCTAATTCGTCATTTGCGGAACGAAAATAAACAAAGCATCTTTTTAATTCATAATTTAGTGACGAAGTTATCTTGTAGAGAATTTATATTATTATCTAGTTTTCATAAGTTAACAAAAAAGAACATGCATCAAAGCTCGTTCGTTAATCACTTCCTTTACACAGTCAACTATTGGATTAGTAACTGTCAAATTGGTTGCGCATGTGTTTGGCACAACTCACGAAAAATTTCAATTCCTTCTCTGTGCCACTGTGATCACTTTTTTTCTGCTAACTAGCAATATATTTTATTAAAAATACCTTTACAAACATACCTCTTTTCTTTTCTGGCGTCAATTTTTTTACTTTCACATTTGACACTTCTCCTCTTGTTCGCAAAAATAATTGACAAAACTAGGATGGACACCAAAAGGTTATCGGTTTAATCTGAGCTTATTTTATAATTACAGACTGACTGATTAGAGAATCAAGCTGGAAAATGGATAATCTCTGCATATGTAAATCTCTGCATAATGTTAATAATTAGGAACTTAATGTACGGAGTGCCTTATGTGGCACGAAAAGTAGTCATATTTTTACAAAGTAGGTTTTCATCATTTCAACGCGTTATTCTCAATTCTATGAAGAAAATGTGCTTGTTCGACACCCGTCAAATAACAAACCTGATTTTTCGAAACCAATAAATGGTTAACTCTTTATTACAATTCGAAATAAATAAAATTTTTTTTAATAGGATACTAGCAACTAACTTGAGGTTGTGATTAGTAACTTTTCTGTTTGTTGAACCATGTACTTTTGCATTTTCTTATAACAAATTATATACAAAACTAAGAATCACCTTTAAATAAGTTTTGCGACAAATTGGTTTCGGCGTTGTGCCATCTTAAGCGTAATGAAAAAGTGAGTCAGCTATTTTTTAAGAAGAGAAAACCAAAACTTTTTGATACAGAAAAAGTCCCATATTTTTTGAAAAGGCTTCATCTCTTAGGTTGCGTTTAAAATGGGTAACAACTTTTAATATCTAAGTTCGTAACAAATTCACAAGTTATTCTCAAACCAAAATACATATTTACTGAGCAATACATATTTATAGGTGAGACTCGATATAAAATATGGTGTATATTGGATTACTAGCCCGTTTTGAAGACTTAACAATACATACATACATACTTATGTAGTTATCAATTGAGTCTAAATTTTTCATTTATTTCATTATTTTAACAGTGTTGAGAATTTTTTAGAAGTGCCCACATTCGGTTTCTGGTCCGATCAATATCAAAGCGGTAATTCTTTGTTGGATAATGGCAAACCTACATAAATACAAGTGTACATCTGTCAAGCTACTCTTAAAAAAATATCTGTCGGCGGCATGAAACTGCAGCCCTATCCATTTGGGTTGCAATATGAAAATTAATTACGAAAATTGGAGGAGAAACTGGGCCAAGCATCTATTAAGGTGGAGAAGTGCCAATTGTTTTATTTTTTTTAGGATCTACTCGTTTATGGATCATTGTATTCAAAAGAGAAAAACGGCATACATTTTAAAATCCCATAATTATCTCTATTTCAGTAGTGGGTTCTTGCTAAATTACTACATTTATTAATCTGTCGCAAAATAATCAAAACATAAAAAAAGCTGTAGTTTTTGTCTATGAAAACTTTTACTTTATACATAATTACTTTACACCAGTCACAAGGACCTGTCCCATCAGTCACAATTTTATATATGTACATACTTATTTCTAATGAAATTTTTAATGAAAACGAAGGCGTATAGCATATATTTTATAACATAAAAATATGGCTTGTAAATTAAGTATTTTGCGCTGAAATTCGTATTTAAAGTTTACAAAGATAACATAGAGGGATTCATTCAAATAATCGTTACAAAGAATTTAGAAATGATTTGGTATTTTTTTAAAGGCATTTTATAACTACATTAGGTATTTATTTATCTATGTTAAAAAATATCTCTCAACGTTGTATACGTTCCGACGACACAGTTTGACCAATGTTACTACATTTTGACTAGGGTGGCCAGATATTATAGTGACATAATCAGTACAGCTGGGATCAAAAATCAGTACAAAGCCATAAAAATCAGTTCATTTTTAAGCGTATTTTTTATTATTAACAATATAACAACCAAATAACAGCCCAATAA